GGAGGAGGAGGAGGAGTATGTGGATATGTGCCATTTAAAAACTCAAAATCACTTAAAGTCATTTTTATTCATCGTATTATATTTTAACTGTATATATGATCAATCAACACTTAAGCATATGGCACCCAAGATTTTTTATGCTAAAAAAAACCATACAAAAATATGAGAAAATTTTTTACAATGTTCTACTGATATCTCATATTTTAAAATTTAAATCTTTGGCAGTATTTATTAAAATAAAAATGCTACGGCAAAGGCAAAATGATGTTATGTTTAACATAAAGTTGGATATTTTAAATGCATAACTGATCATAACTTTTCTCACTCATGGAATGTAAGAGTACAAAGTGGCACATAAAGTAGAAATAGCTATGCTTTTAAATTAGATGTATACCCTGCAGATTATACCTTCCTCGTGTGCTGCGAACAAGTTCTGTGACTGACGTGTGCACACTGGTTATATAAATATTCTACTTTACAGCCTTCACGATGGAAGCTGTAACTTCCCTGCTCCACACCCAAAAAGTTCTTCAGAGCTGGAAGAGAGTGAAAGTCAATCAAGTCCCAACTGCAGAACTAACAAAAATCTAAGTGTTTTGTGACAGAGTCTCACTTTAAGGTAAAAATGTTTTCACTCACTTTGAAAGTGATCAATACATATTTGACTTACTTGACAGAATCCAAAGCTATTTGATCAATATTTGTGATTCGAATTCTAAGCACTATATTTTCTTGTATGCTTTGTGGAAGACTTGGATGATCAGAGCTCAAAAATGTCAAAGTTGCACCCTGAAGGAAGGAAAAGATAAATTATTTACAGCTAGAAGAGCGTGAAGAAGGAAAATACAACTGCTATCAACTAAAATATTTGATTTGATAATAAGTGGCAAGGCCTATTATAATAATAATATTTGAAGAATATTTAGAAACTATGTAGGTATTAGCCGATACCATAGAAATAACAAATCTCCCAAGCATTCAGTTAGAACAGTCTTCTATTTAGTGATCAGTATGAACAAAAAAGCCAGCTATATAAGAAACTCCAATTTTTTAAAATGAGAATCATGAACCAAAAAACAAACATGCTCCATCAAAATTGTGACACCTCTAAACACAGAGTACAGGCACTAGTCCACAGAGAGATGCCTGTGAACTGACGAATGTGACAGACGCATTGAAATCTTTCACCTGGTCTTTTGACGACAGATCACGCAAACATAAAACCTAATTTAAACCGAGTAGAACATCGAAGTCTCAGTGACAAAATTCTTACTCAAAATCCTTAAAATACATTTAAAAGATCATTACTTTAATTCTTCCATTGTTCATATACACAAATAGCCAGTGTAAGGAAAAATACAAGGTAAAACTAAGAGTCTTGCTTATTCGTGTTGACCATAGGGAAGAGATTTCCCTCCTTTCCTTTTTTTAAAACAGTGATTGTAAGCATTAGCATTTTCTTCTCCCTTGGGAAAAAAATATAGATAATATATTTAGCTTTATGACCTCAGAAAGTCTTTTTGCGGAACTTGGAAGCTACCCTGAAATGTAAACACAAAGGGAGGTAGCACCTTTATCTATTTCTCCTCAGAAGGTTGGAGCATAATTGTACGTGGCACCTTGCTCACGTGCAAAGCCACCTTCTGTGACAAAGATATGAAAAGTATGTTTCCCTCTCAACAAAGTCAATTAAGTAACACAGTTGGTCACTGTAGTTACTGGGTGACTCGAGGACAAACTGTTTGTGACAAACGGTGCTGCCAAGTCCTATTACTCGAAGACAAGTTACTTGTATGCAATGGCCGCATCTCTTAGGTATACAAAAGGGTGAGATTTCTGTCTTTGCACTTTCATAGCAGACTGCCTATGACATAATATGTGCTATTTAATATTTATTCAGTAATAAAACAACTTTCTTTACTATTTTTGTGTGAGGTTTGAGGGGTTGGCAAAAGATTTAGTTTTAAATTCCATTTCCTCAACACCAGCTATGGGAGTAATCCTTAAAATATTTTTCAACTAAGAAAGCAGTGAAGCAGTGAATTGGAGGTTCCCAACTAAGATTGCAGATGGGTTCCAGGTCTGCCAAGTTAACGAGCCAGATGAATTCAGAGGCAAGTAGAGCTCCTTTGCTATAGCTTCTACCTTGGAGCAGTTTCCTCTCTGCTTCAGCATATCGCTTAAATATTTTCATTGTCTATGAGGAAAACCTATTTTCCATGAGGAAATAAATTAGGAAATACTTCAGTAAAGATCTTCTGCTTATTCTACACACTAGCAGCTTTCTAATGGTTAAAGACATCATGCAAAACTTATGAAGGCTTTTGAGAAAGAAATTAGTGATTTTTCTGATATCAAGAAGAAAGAAAAACTGAAACACTATTAAGGGTAGAAAAGAGAATGTGTCAAGGAAGAGCTAAAGAATTTACAGTTCCAAACTGGGAGGTCTAGAATTATGAGTGAAAAACTGAAATATTATCTTACATTTAGATCATAATAACCCAGGCTGAATTTGCAGTATACAGCAGTTTAGATGGGCTCTTCTGTCAAGAAGAGGGTGAGACTGAGGATGGGAAGTTTCAGAGTCTCCTGTAAATGAGGGTTATATTAAGCAACAGAAGAATCTCTCATATGTGTAGCGGTGTTACATATATGAACACACTTATACGTATGCATACAGGTACCTCCATGCAGTCCGTATTATGTATTTGATGTTAAATATGAGTGAATACACATGTGGGTGCACTCTTATTCAAGTGTGTCGATGATACATGTGCATATGCATATGAGTATTATTTTTACAGCTGTCATCAAAATTTCTTGGAGGGATATTTAGGAAAAGATAGACGGAGCATGTCGAAATGAAAAGATAGGTTCCACAGAATTATCTGCACAGCAGAAGATCTCTCTCCCCCACTGAAAAACAGAGAGGAGTCCGGCTGACTATTTCTATATTTTAAAAGTGAAAGATGGAGGAGAGGCGACAGATGAAACAGTTGGAAAATAGAGAGAAGGGCTTTCACATGGGAAGTATTCAAGAGACATATTTTTCAGGATAGAAATTTCCAATAAGAAATTGTAGGCTGCTTACACCGCTGCAATATAAACTTCCCTGGATAGTGCCTTTATAATTTCCACTATACACACAAAGCATGCAGTTATATCTTCCTTCCTTCCTTCCTTCCTTCCTTCCTTCCTTCCTTCCTTCCTACCTCCCCTCCTTCCTTCCACAGGAATCATATAAGGAAGCAGAATAGGAACTGTAAGACTAAATCACCACTTACACTAAATTGCTGGAAATAGCGACTCACATCTAGTAGTAACTTTCTAAACTTGCTTTCTTCAGCTTGTAAAATAGAAGTCAGAGCTGATTTTCTTCAGATCTCAAGAGGCAATATCGAGTACCAAATACACTAGATATCTAATCCAAGATTAAGATGTCAAGTGTTTCTTCACCCTTCACTCCTTCCTTAATTGGTCATCAAATCTTACTGATTTTGCCTTCCAAAGATTTTTTTTTTATTTTTCTAATTAACTCTGTAGATACAACCACTTGCTTAATTCAGGTTACCATGACCTCTATCTGCAATTAATACGCCAATCCAGTCCAGTCATTGTGCTCTTCGTCTTCAACTACCACCGTGTCACCTCTCCCACCTGCAGCGCCTTCAGTGACTCCTTCACACATTTCATATAACTCTCTAACATAGGACTACTTCAATAAACTCAGTTCATCCCGACAACCCCTACACTGAGTCCTGTATTTCAACCAGGCTAAACTACTGTCAGTTCTCCAAGTAGTCCATGCGTTTTCTTGCTTTTGTTCTTTACACAAGCTGTCCCATTTACCTCCAAGTTTTTCCTTACCCTCATCTATGACCCTATATCATCCTAGCTAATACTTAGTAAAGATTAGATAGCACTTTCTCCAGGAAATCTTTGACCTCATGGAACTGGTGCATTGCTCCTCCCATTTGGACCCAAGTTTTATATACATATTGCATGAACGACTGCTGTGTAGTACTTCATTTTAGTCATGTTAAAGTATGTGAATTTTATAATCTAAAATTTCAGAATATTGGGGCTGGAGCAGTAGCTTAGTGGCAAATCATTTGCCTAGCACAGACAGGATCCAGGGTTCAATACTCCACACCTCAAAAAATTTTAAAAATGAAAAATAAAATTTCAGAGCACCATACACACTGTAACAGTATCTACGATCCACCCATATTTGGGAAACCTGTTACACCACATGAGTTTTCCATAATGCAAATATTATGAAAAGGATAGGCTATCAGCTCCAGAGACCAATGGCCCTTCCTGAAAGAAACCAGGCATCCTCAGAGAATAAGCCTACTCTAGATGGAGCCTCACTCCTAGTGTTATGGAGACAACCACTTATTCAATAACACAGCATTGAAGAGCCTGCAAATATACCAAGAGGTAAGCTTTCCTGGGTACAACCTGCATTATAGAATGGGGCAGGGGTTACACAGAATAATCCTGTGCTTGCTTTCAGATCACTGGGATTTGGGCCTTAGTGGCAGAAGTTCCTTGGAAAACGTCAACCATTATCCCACTCACACAAATGTCCCTGCTCAGAAGAAAGGAGAGGAGGGAAACTGAAAGCAAAAAGCCCTGCTTCGCCTTCCATACGGGGATTCCACAGCATCCCACATCTGCTATTAAATGTTTTTTATGTAGATACACACTTAACTTACAATATAAAAGTCACCAAGCTGGTATCGTTTTCCTTTTCTTCGTCCACATTGATGACTGTAAATGTTTTTGGGAATAAATGGAAGGACATTTGTTCTAGAAGTTAAACAGAAAACATAGTTATTCAACGCTTTGCAGACATAATCATCTCAGGAGTTTTCATGTTCCACACCATACCTGTTTTTGCCAAATTGTCGATATTCATAAATTGTAAGGGACTTGTCACTAGTGAAAAAGAACCCAATCAGCTCTCTGCAGGCATCACGTCCATGTCTAGAAAAATACCATAGCGAAGATTTTCAAATGGAACAATTTTAACTTCAATAATAAAGTAAAAGTGAGCATCTAAAAGTGGGCAAATATAACACTCGAGTGTGCGGGTGTGGGTAGCTGTAGGGAACACACCACAGCTTGAAGTGTCAAATTAGATTTCGATGAAGCAAAAAACCTTATTCTATACAGACAGCAACATGGGTATGTTACAGTGTGTGTCACTAACCCAACCTACAGTTTCAAAATACAGAAGACCTTAAAAAAACCTTTACCTTGTAAGAAACTACTCGAAGATATACCATTTATTATCTTTCATTGTCATAAAAAAGGTTTTAAATTGCTGAACAAGTATTGCCATTTAAAAATACATATTTTATGAGAAATATGCACAAAACCATCAAGTAGAATTATGTATTACTGAACGTTTATAAGCCTGAGACAATAGGTTTAAAAATCACCTCCTTTGTTCTCTGCTCCATTACCCATAATCTACTAAAACTACTAAAATCACTAAAAAATTAAACTACTACAATTAACTAAAACTATTAAAATTAACTAGTTAACTAAAACTATTAAAATTAAATTAAGCATCTTATATAAAAATTAACTTTACATAACTTAAAACTTTATAGCAGTAATTCATATCTTTTTAAAAATTCACTTCTAAGTTTCTTTTAAAAATATTGCTTGTTTGGTGCTACTGGAGATTGAATCCAAGGGCCTGCACACTGAGCTACATTCCCACTGCTTTTTTATTTCTTATTTCAAGACAATGTCTCCTCAAACTAATTATCCAGGCTATGCTCAAACTCCACGCTTAGCTTCCCAGAGCGCCGTGATTACCAGTGTTTGTTAGATGTTAAAACACTTTTAAAATCACTTTTTGACTTTTTTTGTTACTGTTTTATGGGATTTTTTTTGTGGGGGGCTATTTTTTCATTTCTGTTTTGGTTTTGGTTTGGGTGTTGCTTTTTTCAGAGAGGATCTCACTCTATAGTCTAAACTGGTCTTGAACTCACTGTGAAACCCAGGCTGGCCTAGAATTCCTAGCAATCCTTCTGCCTCAGCCTTCCATATCCTGGGATTACAGCCATGCAGCACCATACCTGGCACTTCAAATCTCTTACTAAGTAATGCCTAGTTAAAACAGTTTTCTTAGAGCTTTGTATTTTCTATATTTTCTGCAACAGATTAATATCGCCTAATATGTTCTAAATTCATTTTTTTCACTTAAATGGGAAAATTTGTCTAATACCATTATTTGAATGTGAAGAGAATACATATTTATAAGTATAGAATTTAAAAATTTAGTAAGTACAATTACCTTGATATGATCCTGCCATCAAATTGTACTTTATGAGAAAGCGCATTTTCAGTTAATGTAGAGTGGGTTCTAATCCTGTTAAAAATATATATATATATTGTCAATAATTTCTAAATGTACCTACATTTGGATAAACAATAAATGTACTAAAAGTAAGTTTTGCTGGCATTGTGAAACAGCATAAGCTAGATAAAGATGGAGATACAAAATTCTCAAATTGTTAATATAGAGCAAACACAACATCATCCTGAGATGGAGTACGTATGAATGACTTCTGTATCGGACTCTACAGTATAACATGCTACAAAAGTGAATACCGGAGAGAGCACACTTGTGACTGGCCCTATGATGCAGCTCTGTGAAAGCCATTTCCAACACTCTTCTTTACCTCCCACCATGGAATTTGCTCTTTTAGTCTCTGCAATTGGTTTTTTAGTGTCTGCTCAAAACTGAGCAAAGGAGCTCAGTTCTGCTACTAAGCTTTCAGGAAAGATTTGATTTTGTCCACATGAGACAGCGGCATGGGAAGAGTTCCTGCCTGTGAACATGAAAGGGATATGATGCTGCTACATACCCATGGTGCCCATCAAGCTGCTATGGCAGAAAATCTATTAAGATCTAGTAAAGTGAGGCCAGATCTACAACATCACTTTGCCTCTAAACTAAAACCAAACAATGCCCACCAATGAAGCACCTGGTTCTGTAAGAAAAATAAGTTCTGACACATTTAGCCCTATCAGTCAGGTTTTCAGTTATGGACAGCTGAGAGTATTTCTTACAAAATAAATGAATAGTGAGAAAGAGTGCCAGGTGAAGTTCAAGCCTTGAAATATGTGTGTCCATATTTAATCTTACTCAGACAGCAGTGAGTGATCTCCTAAAGTCTGTAAGCCAAACCTTGGTTAAAAATATAATGTGAAACCCAAATGTACACGTGTTGACACCCTATCATGAAATCCTTTCTCTTACAGAAATCTAAAGACCCAATGATGTACTGTTACTTCCCTTCCCAAGTAATTTTATGACAGCTTTCCACAGCCTGCAAGTATAATGAAATAGCAATAAGGTAAATAGCGTGTGAGTGTGTGGGTCACAGGGATCTTGAAAAGCTACCCCTCTATAAATCTAGGCCTCTACTAAAGGAATCGGAGGATGGGAAACAAGAGCCTGCTAACTAAATGATAGTTTGTGAACACAATGGAGCCATGAAAGCTTCGTTATCTCAATTCAATTTAATCCATGGGTATTATGTACTTACTGAATACCCATTTTGTGCCTCGAACAATGCTAAATGTTCACCTACAATAACACCTACCATTTATGAAAGACTTTCTAGACACTAGTCACTGTTAAATCACTTTACTGTGTATTAACTTTCTTAAGGCTTACAATAACTCTTTTTGAAAAGAGAGAAGAAGTAAATACACATTGATGTTATGAAATTCACAGTGCCGTATCAGGTTTGAGGTTCCTAATAAACAGCACAAATATTATCTATCCCATTTCTGTACCAATACAGAAAGAAAAATACAGCATATTAAATAGCAGATGTGCAATTTATTATCAATAAGGCTGTTGGAAACCATGGTTTAGGTATGCAGCAAAAATAAGCTCCATCTTTGCCACTAGAATTAAACAAACTAACTGCTTATTTTCATTAAAGAAGTACCTTGTACAAATTTGATGCAGGGGGTAAAATGTGTGCTTCTTCAAGCAATTGCTTCCCAAGGAAAATGAGATAGGAAAGGCTAAACTACACATGCCAATTCCTGCTTCTAAGTATGAAGCCCAGTTCTGTCCCTCTTTTCCGGAAAAATGAAAGAGAAGGTAAAATCGATAAATTCAGTCATCCTAAGAAATGCTCTCCTAGTATTTTTCAGGCAACTGGATTAGCTCTAAACAATCTACAGGAGCTTAATATAAACTAATACTAATCAAGATAGGTATAGAAAAAGAGATAGATGAAACTGAATAAAAAACCTAGAATCAATTAAGCATTTACAACAGCTTAACATATGACATAGCAGCGTTGCCAGTCAGAATGAAAGTGACTTTGTGGTGGGCAGAGGTTTCTTAAAGAAGCTCCAAAGGACAAGGAACTATTGGAAAAGATTGGGAGATTGGCCAACTTTCAGGTAAGGATATCTGGTGGCCAATAGACATATGGAAAGATATGCAACTTCATTAGTATCCGATGAAATGCTAATTAAAATCACCAAAACACATTTATAAGAATTAAAATGAAAAAGACAGTTCCAAGCATTGGCAAAAAACTGTTGCAACTAGGAAATTCACTCTGCTACTATTGCAAATTGCCAGTTTGAAAAACTATTTGCAGTAACTTTTAAAGAAACAAATGATCCAGAAATTCTACTTCTATTTACTCAGCTTAATGAATACAAATGTTCACTAAAAGGTATGCACAAGTAAACCCACAGAAGCACTATTCATAAATAGCCAAATGTTTTTCAACATTGGTTAATAAAAAATGCGCAGTGTATGTATGCATTGGAAGACTCTATGACACTGAGTGGAAAAAAAAAAAATACAAATAGCCAAGTGGATAAAACTCACAAACACAATACTGAGTGAAAGTAAGATGTCAATGTATAGGTTAGATAGATAGATAGATAGATAGATAGATAGATAGACAGACAGATAGATATAGAGATATATCAGAACATCATGTTTTATATCAAATAAATCAGTACATAAATAAATGCCATTAGAGAAAATAAAAGAGGGCACACAGATTCCAAATTTTGTGATTTCACTTATATGAAGTGCATAATCAAACAAGTCTAATCTATGAAGTTAGGATAGAGAAGGTCACTGGTCATGGCAAAGGAGGTGGATACTAGTTGGCAGGCAGCACAAGGTGCATTTGTGGGGTTCTGGTAATGTTCTGTTTCTTGATCTAAAAGTTTGACATGAGTATTTTTCATGTGTAACAATTCTTTTGCTGTAGACTTAAAATGTACGCACTTTGTGAATGTATGCTTTATTTCAATAGAAGTTTATTTTAAAAAAGAAAAGCTTAGATGTTTGGTAGATAAATGGTCACACAAAAATGTCTGTGCCCTAATATTCAGAACATGTGAATATGTTAACTTTACATGATACAAAAGATACCACACCATATGTAATTAAGTTGAAGATATTAAAATGAGATTCTCAGGATTACCCAGGCATGTTGAATGCAATCACACCTATCTTTATAAGACGAAAGCAGAGACAGACTATCTATAGAGGAAGGGTCAAAGAGTTGTGGAGTGAGTGAGGCAGCCTTGGACCATCATAATCAGCTCAAAGGTGGAGGATGGGACCACAAGCCAAAAAATAAAGACAACATCTAGAAGCTGCAAACGACAAAAAAATAGCTTGTTCACTGAAAATTCTACAATGAATGCAGCCGGCCAACACCTTGATTTTAGACTTCACAACTACCGAACTGTAAGAGAATAAATTTTTGTGTTGTTTTAAAACATTTAAATTTGTAGCTGCAGCAACAGGAAACTAACATATGACAGCTTCAAATATCTAAATGTATAGAAGCCACGGCTTCCAGAAAAGAATGAGACAGAAAAAAAAAAAGACACAGAAGAATATGAACAATTATAGAAGTCTAGAAATAGAAAAGAGCTACTGTAGGTACTGGTAGATTTTCTGTCTCTTCAAGATGAGGCTAGATGTCAACTGTCAGTGAATTCATGGAGGAATTTAAGTAGGCTGCACCACAGGACTGTTAAAGCCCATACCAGCTCAAAGGTTTTATAAGCTAGAGTTAAATGTAAAAGGGAAATAATGAGCAATACTAATTTTAATATATCAGTGAAATTTAGCTAGTATATATTACATAGATAAAAATAATCTCAGTTACTGTATTATACATTTTCATATATATTATCCCCAAAGGTTGTGGCTTTTTCCCCCTAAATTACAAATTTTTAAAAAATCTAAAGGACAAACAAGGTAGAGTAAGATATTGCCTCTAATATCTTAAGATGACAGAACTAGGATCTGAACTGCAAAAATGGGATTGCTCCTTATATAGTAAAAAAGCAAAAACAAACACAAAAACTTTTCAGTCACAGAAATAAAATTTAACAATACATTTATAACTCAGTGCCTCCTCATTTTATATAATTAAAATCTGCTTACTTTGTTTCATGTAGTGTTCTTTTCCTACATCGAAGAGGTGGTCTCTCTGAATCTGGAGGAATATGAGCATTTTCTTGTTTCTCAATGTTTATATTTTGTTCTGGATCACTGATTACAGCTCTAACAGGAAAAACACCAAGTCAGATAGTTAATGTGAAAATGTATTGCTTTATTATCCACATACTTTAATCAATTTGTAAAGCATACACCAAATGGAAATTTATACTGTTGTCAGAATAATGCTTTTGTCAAATCTGCATAAATTTAATTATTAAAATATTGTCCATAAAAAAAATGTGACTATTCCAGTGTTTCTGTGAATATTACCTAAAAATAAAGTAAAATTTTTGAGGGAGCTAAGAGCTTCATGTCCTTAGCATTCATTAAACAAATAGACACTGTGCTGGTTTCTGATAATGTAGGGGAAAACACAAGTAAAATACAATAAAAAAGTGATAATTGCCGCAATAGAAATTCAATGGGCAAACATAGAAGAGGATGACGTAAGTCTTGAAAGGAAAAAATATACAGAAGTGTTCATCAAAGGCATCTAAGAAGAGAAGACGTTTGCACTGATTCTTAAGAGGCAAGTAGAAGTTAGACTCAACCGAGAGGGGTATCACACGCATAGGAACAGTAGGCACAAGGGCACAGAAGCAGTCTGCACTGCACACTTCAGGAGCTTCACAGTGTGCTAAAGGAGAGGACACATGGTAATGTTGCAGCAAGCATGTTTATTTAACTGAGTCACCCTTGGAGGCCGGCTGCAGAGACAAGCAAGTTTATAGCCAGCGGTGGGCACCCAGTACGTGACTGAGCACCAAGCCTGAAGGGCAGGAGGGGAGAATAGTTATAGAATTCTAGTTCCGGGTCTAGGGGGTTGATTGAGTTTTTTCTGACATGATTTAGAGCAGCTACAGAAATAATCCTACAACACATGAGCTCAGCTTGTGACAAACGAACAAAGGCATTTGACATTTTAAGTAGGAAACAAGAGGTCTTATGACAAACATGGGGGAGGTATCGGGTTAGGTAACTATGACAACATTTACAAGAAACAAACTTAAAGAAACAGAAACTTCAGCTTCAAAATGACACTAGAAAAAAAGGACACTAGAACACAAAATGACATTGGTTTGGTTCTTTTCCCCACTTTAGTACAACCACACTGCCTGGGTTTAACCTTTGCCTCTTCCAGAAATATGCTACGTGGGTTTCTCTAATCATTCAACTCTAGGTTATATTTTCCTCATTTATAAAGAGTAATGTGATATGGTACCTCTCTCCAATATTGTGATTAAATAAAGATTAAACAAATTAGCATATACATATATGCTATTACACATACATATAAAATATATATGTATATACACACATATTGTTTATAACAGTATCTGTCACCTAATATAGAAGAGATCCAAAAATTGAGCCCCTGAGCATTCCCACATTTAAAGACTGGGAAAGTGCAGAACCAAAAGACTCTGAAAGTGAGCAGAAGGGAGGAAGAAAATAGTCCCATGTGTACAACAGGAAGCCACGTAGAAAAATGAAAAAAAGTCTCAAAAAAGATAGTTTCCAACTAAGACAGAAGTTGCTAATGGGCCCAGGAAAGGAGCAGTGAGATGTCACCATTTGTTTAGTAATAGAGATGCCGCTACTTAGCATATGGAAAGGAGTTGTGCTACAGAGAAAACAAGTGAAGTGCATGAGATACTAGAAGGAGGTACATGGAAAACTATTAAAATAATTAACTGTTTCAAAGAATTGGCTGAAAAGATATGCATGTGGAGAAGGTCAATCTTTCTCTTTGCTACTAACTAAACAACTTTTCCAAGCTAAGCTTGTCTTATTTTTTTCCTTCAAGATTTCCTAGATTATCCCAGCTTCTTGTGAACCGTTACTTTTACATGTTATATTTAGTATTATCAATGATAAAATTTTAAACAATTTTCTAAGAGGCTTTAACATGTTTGATAATTAACCTCAGTTCTCAGATGGTATTCAAGTCACCCCAGTTAAACACATAGGAACACCATGGAATATTATTTTCTAAGGAAAACACAGACATACCCACTATTCTTGGGACACCACATAAACTACCCGTTCAGAGTAGTTCCCAGTTTCCCCCAGATACCACACGATTCCCTTTCAGTGAATTAATGTCTTTGCAAAGCTGAGTTTTCTGCAGTTGCTGTGATAAAGAGCAAATATTATAGGGAAATCAATGTAGAATAGAAAGTGATCCTAAATGATTTTCTATCAAACATTCCATGGTACTCAAAAAATGCATGCATTTCATTAGTAAGTAATTGTAGCAATTTAAGAAGGAAATAAAAATATGTCAACTGATGTGCAACATTTTTCAAGCAGTCATTAAGCAACTATGAAATAAATGCTCATTAATTATTATTAGACATTAATAATAAATATAATGAATAGAATCGTTAGGTGTTTCTATTTGTCTAAGAGTGCTGTGAAAATATTAACTACTAAACCTTGAAGGCTGCAATGAACAGAGGAAGCTTAGCTCTGACTTAGCCAGGCACTAATTAACCAGGTGTGTAAGTGTCGTACATGAAAAAGAAATATAGTGAACGTTTAGAACGCATTACTGCTACCAGATATTTACTCTGACCTAGATAAGTGATCTATCATCATCTGCTCTGCCACAGTCTGTTTCTTCTTCTCTGCAGCCACAATTTCCTGAGAAAATAAAAATAACACAACTTTATTGTCCAGAGCAGTACAAGTTATACTGAATTCCTAAACCATAAATTAAATATTTCTAATGTCCCTCTTAAATACAGATTGCTATCCACCATTAATAAATTTAAATTCTAACTTAATCTAAAATTACTATGTCTTCATGGGCTTAAATTTCAGTAGAAAAATCATCAGACTTTTCCAACAAGGTGCCTTTCATCCTGTGGAATCAGAATAAAAGAAGAGGACCTACCACATCCTTCATCTCTATTACTCCCTCCTCAAGACATGCCATGCAAAATGCATCTTTACCTGCTGCAAGGGGAATACCAGCACTGACACAAAAAGAGTTTAGTCTAAAACTATTCACACGAAAAGAGGCTGAAACTGAATTGGAATCATTTAACCTTATATAAAAAATATGAGACAGAACCCCAATCATTAAAAGAATGATAAATTTGTCCATTTATGTGATTTGTTAATAATATTTGATCAATTTTTCTCAATTACTGATTTGATTAAAGTTTATAGTGTTTATACTTTGTAAGAAAAGTTGGAATCCCTCAGGCACAATGACATAGAGGTCTCCCTGACCACCAAGCAGATTCTAAGCAGAAGTCACACTGATGCAAAGCACTTGGCAACACTAAAAAATGACAAAAGAACTAGAGAGGGACATGAAAACCACAGGCTCACTGCTTCTGGTGCTTAGTTAAGTAGTTAAAAATTAAAGATGTTTCTACCTACATTTCAAGAACAAATCAGTACTAATTTCTGTTGCCTTAAAAGCTTACTCATATAAACGCTTCCAGGGGGAAATAAAACAGATAAATGCACTGCTGCAGCAAAAAAGTAAAATTAACTTATGATAAATTTACATACATTGTCTCTAAACATAATTGTAAGGAAAAGAAATCCATTAATACCCAGAAAGCTTTGGGTTATACTAAGAACAATGCCCAATGGACCTTAAGTATGGTGACATTCATTTCAAATAAAAATTCGGAAATAACAAAATAACCTCATTCGGAACACTGTTTTGCCTCATGGAGTAGCTTTGCTGTTTTTATGATAACCTGGGGAAGACTCCTTATTGTACTGGGCATAAAATGACAAGCATAGAAAATTATACTATGTTCTTTGGTGGAAGAACTCTAACAAATTTGCAACTTGGGATAGCCATTAAAAAAAAATCAATCAGCCTGGCCCAGAGTTTAATTACACATTGCTCTCAAGTCAGGACATACTGACTCCGCATGATTACAAGCAAGTAAAATATAAACTGATTTTCTCTTCAGTGCTAATGATAATGTGATTACCTAGGAACTCCATAGTGCTTTGTTATTACCTACGCTATCTAAATCAGAGTTTTTGCAGCTTGTGAGCCACCACCATAGCATTCACCTACTCCGTAACACATCTAAAATATCAATCACCCGGGATCCTAGCGGGTAGTGGACTCCACCTTCAAGGAGCTTGTCCTCCTTACTGCAGGAGAAATTTTACTACAGAAATTTTATAATTACCTGTGTATTCCAGAATGGTGTAAGCAATTCTTATCAACCTAATTCATTTTGAAAAAATATATAATTTAAAGCTACTGTTGAAAGCCTAAAACTTTGCTTCATTGGTCCTAAAGAAAACTTACTTTATTGGTGACTTTGTTCTTAACTGGCCAGAATTTCTGTAGTATTAGTAGCTTATTTAAAAAAAAAAAAAAACTAACTAGACTTATTTTTGAGGAAAAGAGGTGATGCCAAATAAATTCACTAATGTAATAGCAGCTAATTAACATCTTGATTGTACACTCAATTTTTACAAATGCTCAAAGAGTCCAGACAATTTTTCCACAGAAAATACACTAAACACTAGTCAACCACTATTAAATATACTCAATTTGCCATTAATAATTATTCATCTCAGTCTGAATTCAGTTCTTCAAATTATTTATATAAGTTCATAAAACTCTTAAAAGGCAAATTATTTTAATGACTTATGAAATAGGCAAACTCGTGACTTACCACCTCTGATTTCCTTGAGCTGAGCTGTGCGGGGTCAGGGCTGTCCACATAGCCATGCTGTAAGAGGGCCTTCCGATCCAGAGTGGAAAGGTCATCCTTGCCAGCTTCTGCACTTTGTGTACTGCACTACACATGAAAACAGTAAATAGGCCATCATACACATATTTACAATGTTTGTTTTTAATAAAAGAAGAGAATAGATAACCTCTGAACATCTCAATGCTTGTTTGAGTTAAACAGAACAAGCTCTGATACTCGGATTCCCTATCTTTGAATTCAGCTTCCCCCTTCCTAGCTAGATGACCTCTCAGTGCCTCCGTTCACTTACAGATGAAATGAGAGTATCAGGAAGCGTTTACAGTTTGGAAACCAGTTCATAAGACGATAAATTTATTTACTCACCCATGTAGCACTTAGTGTGGGGTTTCTAAAGGACTGGCTTTGAAATCCACCCTGGGGATTAGTGGAACCCATTTCTAGTGTGTCTGGCTAGTCATGGAGGTACGGCCTTGGGTCTACAGCTAGGACCTGGCCCCTTGCGCTCTGACACTCTCCTTGCCCTGCTTCCTGGCCCACCATGAACTAAACAGGTTTGTTCTGCCACATTCTTCTACCATGATATGTCTGCCTTCAAGCCAGAGGATAATGGACTGAAACCGTGAACAAATTAAATCTTTCCTTCTTCAACTTGTGGCTATTGCGTATTGTGCATCAGCAAGGAGAAAGCTAAACAATACAATCCACTAATGTGCTTAGTTTTCCTAAGAACTTATTTAGGCAAGCACCAGACTGATGCTTAACATTATATAAAGTAAATTAAGCAAATTAATGTAATAGATACGTTTTAGTAAAAGCATTATGTTAAGGCTGAAAAACCTTTCAAAAGGATTTGTATTTCACTTGTTTTTAACATTTTATAGATGGAAAGCTGTGGTTTTCCACTGGATATCAAATTTAGCCTCTTTGTAGCAGACTTCCATATACTCTTTCCCTAACTAGTTAGTTAAGGGCAACTGCCCAAGTCAAAAGGCTTACAGTAATTACTTTTTTTATTTTAAAATATTTAATTGATAAATATAAATTGTATATATTCAATTGTAGAGTATGATGACTGCCTAAACATATACATTGTGTAATAATTGCTGAATAACTCATCCATCGGTATACACAGTAACCATGCAGGGGGTCACAGAGTTACTTAAAATTTGATCTTTTATCAAATTTCAAGTAAGAAATACAGTACTAGTAACTATAGGCATGATGTTTACATTAGTTTCCCAGAAACAAATATTATTAAGTGATTATATATATATATACATGAGAGAGAGTATGTGTGTCTTTCTGTGCCTGGCTGATTTCAATCAGTATAATGTCTGCAGATTCATCTCTGTAGGATCCCTCTTGATCTGCTCTGCCTTTCAAACCTACAGTCAATCTATTATCAAATCTTCTTGTCCTGACCTCCAGAGTTTAGCCAGAATCTGACTTCATGGACCATTTCCAAACACTTTTTCCAAAAATCAAGATTAGTTTATCCTGTATGGTTATGAAATATCATTAAACTTATGTTTAATTTGCTCTTATACCCATCAATATTGAAGTTTCATCTAATCAATATTAAATATAAGATTAATAATTTCAGCAATTTGTAAGGTTGAAATTTTTTCTAAAAATCAGGCAAGAGAAAAACAGGAAGTGATGACAGTTTTAGAATAAAGCAGGTCACCGTAAAGGCTGATACCACCTTCTCAACTTTAGAATTGAGATTGTCATCCAACAGAGTTCATGACAACTATGCCAGAAACATATGATGCTGTCTTATTTCTACTCTCTAGACAAGTGAAAAGCTGCTAACAGAAGACTAGTTCATATGGCTGGAGTTTTCACCTCGGGCAATGGTGATAATAATCCTTTAGGTTTGTTGTGAACAATCAACCAGTTCCTACAACAATAAATGCTATAACACATGAACTGTTCGCTTTCAATTTCATTAAAGTTTTACAAACCTTCATACATTACCTGTTCATTTATCTTGTTTCCTGGAGATTGTTGATGTGTGATATTTGATTTTGTCTTTTCTTCATTTCTCTGACTATACTGTTTATATCCTTCTTTCATTACATTTTTATATTGTTCATGTTTTAGCTTATATTTGCCAGTTGGTGCTGGAAAATTTTCAGGTCCTGTGTCCTGTTCCTACAGGTAAAAAGAAGAAATATGCTGTCCACCAGAAAAGAATAGGAATAATTATTAATTTTCTTTATTGACATTAACAGGTTTACCATTTACCTTAGCACTTATACCTAAGAAACAGACCACTGTAATCTGTGTTCTAAACAGAGGTGACATTTAAAACTGTTACCTGGTACAGCAGGACAGATCAGTCAGAAGAGACAGAACGACTCAGAATGGGCTCTTGGCCCTAAATAGCAATAATCCTATATTTTATTTTGCAGTTGAAGATCAGTCCTTGTTCCAAAAGAATTTGAGGGAAAAAAAAGCTTTATATTCTTCTTAAATGGTTTAAGTAAGTAGGTCTTTTGTTTTCGCGTCCCAGAAGAACTTCACTGTCAAAAATTTCTTCTAAAACAGTGATAGGAATTGGAGATCACTAACTTTAAGAAATGCTTCTTGCTATTTCTGAAATATTACAATATTCTACTCTCTGATATAGTTTAGTTCCCTAACGTATTTCCATGGGGATGAGATATGGTAGAGCTAGTGGGTAGGAGAAATTTAAAGTATGTACTAAACAAATACAAAATATGCACATATTAACCAAAGGAGAGACACTCCAAAAGGAGCACCCAGATCTAGTCCAACCACTGAAAAATGTTGAAGATATTCAAGTCTAACCCAGAGAAGAAAAATGAGGCAAAGCTTCAGGGGGGAAAAAAAAAGTAGCAATATAGAGTCTAAGGTATTATTTATGAAACTGTCCAAAATGAAGCTGAGGAGAACATGAATACAATCAGATACAGGACAAAGAACTACAAGGATAGAAAATCACGCTCTACTCAGCATAACACTGGTGAAGACATCTTCCAAGGAAATACGTTGAATTAAGTGCAGTTATTTATCTACTCCACAGCACTCTGTCTAGTAGCCTGAAGTCTGAGTCCATTTCTGAGAAATCAAGTTTATAACTAAAACTAGTAAAATCTCATCTAAAGTTTGGTCATACTTTTAAAATTCCTAGATTCCGTATTATAATATATCTGCATGTTACCAATTGTATAAGAAATTTTTAAACTTCCTTTCTTATGTCTGAAAAGATGTAAAACAAAGTAAAATCATTTTACCACCATTATGCTTGAAATTTTCATATATAAAATATTTAAATTGGGCAAAGCATAGACTAAACACAATGAAATCCTAGATTAAATGTAGTACTAATGAGGCATACTATAATTTCAAATGTTAGCAATAAGCCAATATATACTAACCAGTTCATTTAGATGATGTTGAGGATGTGGTATTTCACATGGTGCAGCCCAACCAAGGGCAGGTGCCTTTGCTGGGTTATAATGAGTATGCACTGCAGCACGAGAACTATATGAAAAATCATCCTAAAAAATAAAACGATTGATACTTAGTATATGTACATGTAACAGTGTAGTGCAAAGTCTACTATGCTAAATATTGAGTAAAACTTACCTCATCATCAGAGCCAAGAAGACTTCTCAAATCAAGTGGCGGGACCCTGAAATAAATAATATATGTATCTCATGATTTTTTACAATGAGACTTTAACAATTGCAAAATCATATACAAAAAGCCAGAAGCCAGTGGTTCGCTGGGTCATACTGGCTTGTGACAGGCTTTTGTTAAATATTCAGTAATTTTTCAAGGTGGTTGTTAATACGTCTATTTTTTAAAAATAAAATCATACAAATTTGTAATTAAGTAAGTTATGTTAAGAACAAAGATAGTAAATTCCCCAAATCCATCCTTTCTTAATGATTTTACTGCACTTTGTTACTTGTATATGGTTTAGAGGATATCTGTATTATATCTGGACTATTACCAGTTTTACATAGATTATATGAAATCAGCTGTAGTAGGATTATTTACACTGAAATTGGCAAATGTTTTATTTTGTTGATTTCTGAGAGTTAAAAACAAGTGAAGAAAATGTTGATAATGCAGATTAAATTTAAAAATGCATCAAGTCTATAGGTGCCAAGTAGTGCAAAGGACCACTAAATACTGAGAAATATTATTTCAGTACTCAAAACTATTGATTTCACAGAGAAATCATTAGTGCCATTTCACATTAAATAACAATATCAGCAAACATTCATATTGGAACTACACTGGCATTACTGCAGCCATAGTTCAGCTACAAAGAAAGTTCAGAATAAACAAAGCAAGCACATTGTCTAATGGACTTTAAAAAAGACTATATATTTTACCATCACTTATACATTTCTTGCTACACATACTTTATAATAGTAAAATGTTGATCATCTTAAAACATACTTAACTTTATTAATAATTAACAAGTAAAATTTTATAGTAAACTTACAAACTTTCAGAACACTGGTTATTAAACATTTACCAAAACACAATTGACATGGTCCTTGTTACATACTCAATAGCTTATATCTAGTAATTAAGCATATTGCTATTCTTTAGGCCTACAAGCATACATAAAATTATTTATATTTGCTAATTTTTAATCTACAAAAATGGCATTGCCTATGGTTTAGCTTAGTAAATTACTGTTCTTAATTTCTATTTTCCAAGAAGCCCTGTAGTCTAAAATACTTGAAATATACTACACATTTCAAGTCTACAAAAGTGTAAAATATAAAGCATAAAAAATTTAAGTAAATAAATTTAATACGATTGGTCTAATTATCATGTCTCAAGATAAGAATAAAACACATATGCATGTACTATTAAATTAACTTTACCATACCTATTATAAAAAGGAAGCTCACAGAATTCTTTCAAAAATGCATTTAGTAAGGAGATAGGTATGTTTACCCAGACTTACACATTAGACAAGGTACACATGTGTCAAAACATCACATAGTATTCCATAATATGTACGTTTATGTCTTTATGAATCAGCCAAGAAGTAAGTTTGAATTTTTTAAAATGCATAATAAAAATACATTTTCTACTTAAAATTATTTTAGATAGCTCTTGAGACCCTATGGAAATTAATCAGGCACAGAAAGCCAAATATCACACTGTTTCTAGAACATGAGAAACTCAAAACAGAAATAATTTAAGGGGAAAAATAAAAGAGAGATGGTAGGAAACAGGGAGGTACAGCTTATGGAGACGGGAAGGGAGTTGGGGAAGCGGGAGAAGGGAAAGTTAAAATCATCAAGATTTTTATATTTTCCAGTTCCTCCAGATGTAGGTAATTACTATGTATCACAAATATATACTCATAAAAACACATAAATATTTTAACTTTCATTAAAATGTGAGAGTGATATTAAAGAAAATAAAACCAAAGTATTATTACTCATAATCTTACCATTCCATGACAAGAATTATCTTAATTTTGGCATAGCAATATTCAAGTTTTCTGTATGCACATTGGTTCTACTGCAGTTCAAAATTCTAGCTGCTTATACTGTGTAGTTGTGCTTTCCTTTTTAACTTACAAAATACAATAAAAATTTGTCCACTGTACAATTCAAGTGGAAAGAAATATGACTTACACAGGTGGACAGGGATTCTGGGTTGCCCATGAACTAGAAGTCCGATCTTGCTTTAACTTAAAAATAAAATAATTAGAATCGGTATCTCTCATACTTTACAAGATAAGCAGTGTATCAATGCTATACACCTAGTTATAATTTTTCTCAGTAAACCTTGTGTAAAAATACTAAGTCCCTCCTCACTGTGCATGAGATACAGATAAAATGATAGCATGACATATAATCATCATCTGCAGAGCACTCACATAAGAAACAAGTCAGTGGCAGAGCAATAACCATAGCAGGAGTAGCCATCTTACTCTAAGGGATTGAAACAGTATTTCTAAAACAGAAAGCAATCATTAATGAGAATTTTGAAGGGTGAAGAGTCACTCAGATGAAAAGAGAAGGGAGAAATTTGTGTCATCCAGCAAATAATCTTACTGCTGAAATATTATCTGAATTGTAATTTACTATATTGATACCAAGTATAGAAACTACATTCAAGACTGAGCTCTAACAGGCAGGAAATATAGCTCAGTGGCACAGTGCCCGCCTGGCAAGAGCAAGGTCCTGAGTTTGATACCTGGTACCAAGAAAAATAATGATTGAGCTTTATCATTATAATTGACAATAACAATAAGAGAAAACAAACTCATCTCAGTATCAATTTAAACTTCTGAGATATATTATTAAACTGTTTTAAATATAATTCTAATAAATAGCTAAAACATGACAATGGTAAATTACAAAATTATCAATTAAGTGGAAAGGTATGCAGATAACAGCCTAAAACAACAGAAAACTTTTGTCACACATCAGAGATTATGTTTATTGTATTTGTGAAACATCATGACATCATCTAACTTTAGGAAGAAAAGAGAACAAACTTCAGGAAGCTGAGTAGAGTATAGCCATAGCTGCCATAATCATCAGCATTATTATTATTATTAGTAGTAGTAGTAGTAGTAGTAGTAGTAGTATTGCTGTTCCCCAGAGAGTATTTTAATAGACACGGTCCTATATAGTCACAGGTGTAACTGGTTTAGAATGGCAATTACCTTTCTTGCCTAGTTCCAACAGAACTCTGCTAGGTAGCTGAAAATAGACATCATAGAAAGCACTTCAAAAAATGACTTTTTGCATACGACTTTCTCTATGTTTGAAATTATTGCCTTAGATGAGATAACCAGAAATGGGATTACTTGGACTGAATAATTAGAGAAACTATACCACAGTACAAATGACCAATCATGTCTCCTCAAGGGTTGTACCGATTAACAATGCATTGTCTCTGCTTCTAAGTATTCTTCCTGTTACCTTTTCCCATTAATTTAATACAGCCATAAGGGTATCACGGTGTTAACTGGCATTGCTTTGACTCTCAGAGGTCTGAACAATTTTTCATGCTCTTATCTCATTATTTATTCATTGTTGGTGCTTATAATGGCATAATAATTTATAGTAGTAATTACCACATATTTTTAAAATAGAGTTTATTATTTTTAATTTCAGCTCTTGGAACACTCATGAAATAGCATCTAGTAATTTGACATTAACTGTGATGACACTTGGTTAATAAACTCTAACAGGCACTAACCTAAACACTCGGAATTATTTTTCCTTAGAGAACAGCAGTTCTAAGACAAGCATAAATGTGTCCAAGTCCACCATTTTATATATTTATATATATATTTATATACACATATATATACACATACACACACACACACACACACAATAGCTAAAATAATTGTGCTACTAATTTCTATTGGTTTACTGAAAGGAACAGTTAACACTTAATTTTCTGATCAATTTTGTATCTCTATGTCTGATAATGCTGAACAACTATTTTGAAGATAATATGTGATAGAACAATCATCATTGATTTCCTATCATTTTGTTTTGAAATTCTGTATCATTTTTAATTTTTTTAATTTTTATTCTCTTTAAAAAACTAAAATAAAATGAGAGACATAAAGGCAGTAAGATTTAAGGCAGTATTATTTCAGCAGAACAAGGTAATTATAGAAACCATATTTAAAAGAACTTAAACCTTGATATTTTTCTAACAAACGGGAAAAAAAAGAAGCTTCTATACTATAACCACGTAATTAAGGAAAGAGGCTGCAATACTGTGCTTGATATTTTAACTAATAATAAGGGACTTGACCCAAATCATCAAGAATTCAGAATTAGACCATTACCATGATGGCCATAAGAACCCAAAATCTAACTCATTCAAATAATAGAGGCAGTTTAACCCAGACGAAAGAGCGTGGTTGTTGAATTCAGAACGTGACTTGATAATCTTGAAATCATAATGCTAGGTGGAAAAATCAGACACACAAGGCTAAACATCACAAACACAAAATATAAAGACTTTAGTAAAATAAAAGAACGATAATAGGAAGCGGGGAGGGAGACTTCATGGAGGTGGGAAGGGGAGCTGGGGACAAAGGAGATAGGAAGGTGGGCGGCAAAGAGGTAGTAAAAACAATTAAGATGCGATGTGTATATGTACCAATCCCCCAAGACGGAGGTAATTATTATGTATCATAAAAGTACACAAGTAGAAACCAACCCTAGTAAGTCCCTTAATCTCTAGAAGCCTCAGTTCTTGCATTTCCAAAAGCTTGCAAGTAATAGGACATACATCAAAGGTTCAGTGTGAGTTAAGTGATACAAGTTATATGAACATTTATAATGGTCAGTGATAATCAGTAGGTATTCAGGTGTTTGAAACAATAAAAATAGCAAAGAGACATGCATCATATTGGTACATATTTACATCTTTCTTTTTTATTTTTTGTTGCACTGCTGATATTGAACTCATGGCCTCACACAAGCTAGGCAAGCACTTTACCACTGACCCATGCCCCAGATCCACATTTATATATTTCTAAAATGAATTTTATATTTACTCAGTTCTTTTTTAAATTTATTTTTAAAATATAAGAAGGAAAACATATTAACAAACAGACATCTATTTACAAAATACCATAAGAAAAACACAAACACTATAGAGTTACAGACAAAGTGGTAGGAAATTAACAATGGTTCCTGTATTACATATTGATATCCTCAAAGTAGTTTCTCAGGAAAACAAACAGAGACATGCAAGATTGATCAAATAATTAATCATTAACTGTTCCTTTCAGTAAAGTGATAGAAGTCAGTAGTAGTAAATCTATGTTAGCTATCCTGTATATACATACATACATAATTTCCCTTTGTTTCTTTTCTCTTTTCCCTCACCCCAGTTGCTCTTTTCTTTTGAGCATTTTTTTCATTTCACAGTGTCTACCATACCTCCTAATTTTTGTTAACTCTTTCAGATTCTTACACTAGTGACACAATACATTGCTTATCAATTCTGTAGTAGATACAGAGAGAAATTAACTCTAAGATTTCATTTAGTCAATGAAATACACAACAGTCACATCAAGTAGGTTGTGAAAAATAAAGGTTCTAATAATAGAAGCCCAGAATTTCCCCCTACATAGATAGCACCAAATGTTATGTTAGTCTCAAATATTTTAATTTTGGCTTAGAAATAAAAAACATCAAGTTGAGTAACCTATGTTTCATACTTTGATATCTTTAAGCATGTAGTCATCATTTCCCTGGTTACCTTCTCCACCATTTTTGACCATTAAAATCTGTGCATTTTTTCAATAAAGAGATATCACTCCTCACTGAAAATTTCTCTTACCACCACATTAAACCATTCCTTCCTCTTTGAAATTCTGTATTTTGTATGTATTTCTTTAAGTAAATTTAACTCTATTAGAATGATTAATCCTGCCTACACATCTACAGGCTCCTTGAGACAAGTCTTCATCTCATTTAATGTTGTATCCCTATTGTTTAGCTTGTACTAAGTATTGTGTACAGTATAAATGCAAAACAAATAAATCCAAAAGAATTTAGGACTCAGTTCCACTTTAAATAAACATAATGAACCTTTTAAAATATTTGCTTTATGATTTCTGAAGCCTCCTCTAAATTTAAACTATGCTACATATTATAAAATTATTAAAAGCATTTTCAGAGATTTTAATTATATAGAAAATAGATATGGTTTGAATTAAATTAAAAAGTAAGGTACAGTTGAGTAATACTCCATTGTATAAAAATACCACATCTTTTTTTCTCCATTCCTCAGTTGAGGGGTACTTGGGTTGTTTCCAAGATTTAGCTATAACAAATTGTGCTGCTATAAACATGGGTGCACATATATTGCTGTTGTATGATGTTTTTAATTCTTCTGGAACAATACCCAGAAGGGGAATAGTTGGGTTAAGTGGGACTTGTAATCCTAGTTTTGTGAGGAAATGCCAAACTGATTTCCACAGTGATTTCACCAATCTACACTCCCACCAGCAGTGGAAAAAGATTCCTTTTTTCTCACAGTCCCTCTAGCTAAAGATAAACTCAAGGCTTTTATAGGTAAATGGGTGCAACTAGAGATCACATTCATAAGAGAAATAAATCTGACACACATGTGTAAACACCATATTGTCTCCTAGTCTAAGAACCTGAAAGAGTAAATAAAACCCAAAATGTACAATAGATATTATGAAAGGGAAAGAAATTTCTCAAAGGAAGGAACAAATGGGATGAGGGAAAGGTGAAAAAGAAGAAAGAAGGAAGGGAAAAATATATATATATATATGGATAGCTGGGATAATTATATTGCTGATGTCTAATGGTTTATTGAAAGGAACAGTTAATGCTGAAATATTTTTGATCAATTTTGCACACTTATATCTGGTAATCTGAACAACTAATTTGAAGACAACAATATGTAATACAACAACCATTAGTGGATTCCTACCATCTTGTTTAGTGAAGCTCTGTACTGCTTGTAATTTTTTTTTATTCTCTTCAATGATTTGATCAATCTTGCATTCTTACATCTGGTAATCTGAACAACTTCATTGAAGATGACAATATGTAATATAACAACCACTATTAATCCCTATCATTTTGTTTTGAAACCCTGTATCATTTTTATTGGTTTTGTTTTGTTTTCTTTTGTCTATGTTGTTGTTATTTTGTTAGGTTTTTATTCTCTTTAAAATAAAAAAATAAAAAACCAAAAGTTTATATGCAGTTTACAATGGTGTACCAATTATGCATAAATCTACCAAAATGCAAAAGACTACATTCTAGGATAGCAAATTCCATTATTTTTTCATTTCAGCTGCTTTTCTTTCTTCTCTTTCCCTTTTTATTACTATGTGTTTGTGATACATGATACTTTCATTGCGGGATAGATCACATTTTGATCCTTTTTTTACTTACTCCCATCCTGTCTTGACACTTCCTTTGGTCCCTAGACTTTTTTCTTTCTTTAACACTTTTTATAAACACAAATATTTTAATGATAATAATAAAATCACAAGCTCAATTTAAAAGTATAGTTAACTCAGGCATTGACATATTTTCAAGTAATGGTTACCTTCAATTTTATTTGTTCCATTTGTCAAACATAGGCAATAGTGATCCTAAATATTTGTGACTATAGAATCATAAAAAATGAAGAAAGGAGTCAGGAAATTATTTAATGAGTCACCCTGCAAGAGGAAAATGATATTGTTTACATACTTGTAATGGCTTCCTTCTTCCAGAGAGGAGCTGAGCTTGGCTCCCAAGAGAAGCAGCCACTCCTCTAACTTCGAAATCCATTCGTTAATGTACTTATGATGCAGTGCTCTATGCTTTAAAAAGGTGAAATAAATGTGAAATGATCATTTTCACTCTACAGTGCAAATAACACAATAATACTTCATGTAAGGAAATTATATGGTTATTCACTTATACTTCTTTTACTAATACCAACTTTTTGTAGGACAATTCTTTATGCCCTGTGGTAGACTGCTGAGTTTCCAAAGAGGAGAGCATATAATCCCTGGACTCTGAAAATATGTACCTTTTGGGCCAAAAAGGACTTTCAGATGTTATTAAGAATTTTGAAACGGGGAGACTGTCTCTGAGTACTTGGTGAGCTCAGTATAACCACCACAGTCCTTACAAGAGGAAAGCAGGAAGATCAACATGAGACAGCGAAAATATAAGGATAGAAGTGCTGGTCAGAGAGAAATGATGATTCTGTCTGAGTGGCTCTCAAGATGGTCATGAGCAGCTTCCAGGATGCAGAACAGACAAGAAATGGATTCTCCCCCTGGAGCCTCCAGAAGGAATCAGCCCTGCTAATAGCTAGGATTTAACTCCTTAAGACTCATTTTGTGTTCTTATCTCGAGAATGGTAAACCAATACACTGATCCTGTTTTAAACAAAGTTTATGACAAATTTTTATAGCAGGAATAACAAAGTAATGTATGTTCCTCTTCTGTAGCATAGTAAGATAAACATTTATGTGTTTGTTTGTATTCATTTCCCACATCTTTACAGGTTTTGGTTTTGTCAGGGTAAGCTGACAAAATATTTTTACCAAACACTACTAGCCTTCAGTTATGCAAAGAATAAGATAGAATGAATGATCTACTTAGTAGTTATGTGGTGATTTCATAAAAACACCTGAAAAGGAATGTTGGAAATAACCAACTTGAAAATATGTACAAAATAAAAACCAGATGAATATATCACCAAAATTTTGTAATGCTAGTTTATACTTCACTGTTGTATTACTAAGAATAAAGTTTTGTTTAAAGATTTATACAGTAAATGCTGAGGAGACAACATGGCTGAATAGTGGAGGAGCCCCAACACAGGTAATTGGAAGAAAGGGGAGAGAAACAGTCCCTGAAACTAAAATCAATCTGACATAAGAGACTAGTAGATCTAGCAAAACATAAATAAAGGACTTAATAAAACAGTCAGCCAGCCACCCGGTTGCCAAGTGGGTCACCGGGTCAGGAAGACCACCTGCCATACTTGGAATTTTAAAAGAAGAAAAAACAAAAGATACACTAAAATAATAGGGCTAAATCAAACCATACAGCATAGACTTGGACTATAAGGTCCCCTGCCTCTCCTGCCTCCCTCCACACAGAAGACGCTACAGTCCAGCAGTAAATTCTACCAACATCATACTAAATGGACAAAAACTGAAAGCTTTCACTCTAAAATCAGGAAGAAGAGAAAGATGCCGCTATCACCAATCCTATTCAATATTGCCAGAGCAATTACATACAGATAAGAAAGAAAGGAATAAGGATAAGAAAGAAAGAAATTAAATTATCATTATTTGCAGAAGACATGCTACTTTACATAGAGGACCCCAGAAATTCCACCAAATGACTTCTAGATTTAATAAGCAAATTCAATAGCATAGCTGGATACAAAATCAACACTAAAAAATCAATAGCATTGCTATATGCAAACAATAAAATCACTGAGAGAAAAATTAGGGAAACCACACCCTTCACAATAGCAGCCAGGGCTGGGGATTTAGCTCAGCGGCACAGCGCCTGCCTGGCAAGCACAAGGTCGTGAGTTCGATTCCTGGTTCTGGAAGAAAAACAAAACAAATACAACAACAGCCAAAAAATGAAATACTTAGGAATCACTCTAACAAAGGAAGTAAAGTATCTATATATTGAAAATCATGCTACTCTGAAAAGGGACATCAAAAAGGATATTAGAAAATGGAAAGATATCCCTTATTCTTAAATATGAAGAAGCAACATTGTGAAAATGGCCACACCCCCAAAATTGTTACACAGATTTAATAAAATCCTCATCAAAATACCATTAGCATAGCTCACAGAACTAGAGAAAACATTCCTAAAATCCACTTGGAAACAAAAGAGACCTAGCATAGCCAAGGCAATTCTGGGCAACAAAGGCAGGCAGGGGACATCACAATCCCTGACTTGAAATTATACTACAAAGCTAGTGTGATAAAACCAGCATGGTTCTGGCAAAGAAAAACAGACTTGAGGATCAGTGGACAGATTAGAAGATGCAGACACAGCTACAAACACACTCAGCCATCTGACCCTTGACAAAGGGACCAAACATGTTCACTGGAAATAAGATAGCCTCTTTAGGGAATGGTGCTGGAAAAACTGGCTCTCCACATGCTGAAGACTAAAACTAGACCCATGTCTATCACCATGCACTAAACTAAAGTCAAAATGGGTCAAAGATCTAAATATTAAAACAGAAACACTAAAGCTACTGGAAGAGAAAGTAGGTAGAAATCTTTGAGACATAGGCATAGGCAGAGAACTCATGCATAAAACCCAACTGCAGAGAAACACTTCAAAGAATCAAAAAGTGGGATCTCATTTTATTAAAAAGCTTTTGCACAGCCAAAGAAATTACCAACAAAGTAAAAAGACAACCTACAGAGTGGGAAAAAATTCTAGCCAATTGTCCCTCAGACAAAGGACTTCTACTTGTAACATATAAAGAACTGAAAAAAAATCAGACCCCCTCAAATTGAGACCCAATCCAAAAATGGGCATCTGAGATGAACACACACTTCTCAGATGAAGAAATACAAATGGCAAATAAATACATGATGTTTAACATCATTGGTCATTCAATAAATGTAAATTAAAACAGCATTGAGATTCTCTCTCACCCTAGAAAGAATGGTTATCTATCAGAAATCAACCAATAACAAATACTGGAGGGGGGCTGGGGATTTAGCTCAGCGGCAAAAGCGCCTGCCTGGCAAGTGCAAGGTCGTGAGTTCGGTTCCTGGTACCGGAGAAAAAACCAAAAAAAAACAAATACTGGAGGGGTTGTGGGGGCAAAGGAACCCTTCTCCACTGTTGGTGGGAGTGTAGACTGGTGCAATCACAGTGGAAATCAGTATGGCGATTCCTCAAAAAAGCTAGTATTAAAGGTCCCATTCCCCTTAGCTGTTGCCCTACTGGAAATTTTCACAGAAGAATTAAAAACATCATACCACAGTGACAGGTTTACCCATGTTTACAGCAGCACAATTTGTAACAGTTAAATCTTGGAAACAATCCAAATGACCATCAACTGAGGAATGGATAAAAAAGACGTAGTGCTACTCAGTTATAAAAAAAGATTAACTTGAGACTTTTATAGGTAAATGGATGCAACTAGAGACATACTTATAAGTGAAATAAATCAGACTCACATGTGTAAACATCATTTTGTCTCTCTAATGTAAGAAACTGAAAGAGTAAATAAGATCCAAAAAGTACAATAGATATTATGAAAGGGAAAGAAACTACTCAAAAGGAAAGAATAACTAGGGTGGGGGAAAGTAGAAAAGGAAGGAAGATAGATACATAGATAGATAGATATAGAGATATATATGATAGCTAAGATAATAGTACTAATAATTCTATTAGTTCATTGAAAGGAACAGCTAGCATTTATATTGTTTGATCAATCTTATATCTATATCTGGTAATCTGAGCAACTACTTTGAAGATAACAATACGCAATATAATAACCAGTGTTAATTTATTTGGTTTTGAAATTCTGTATCTTTTTATTGATTTTCTTACTCTCTTTAAAGTAAAAAAATTTTTAAAAACAAAACATAAATAAAATGTACAATAGATATCGTGAATTAGGAAGAAACTGTTCAAAAGGAAAAAAGAACTATGATGGGTAAAAGGGGAAAGGACAGTAGGAAAAAAGGAAATAACGCAAGTCAGTTATACTGTTAGTGTCTCTTAGTTCATTAAAAAAGGAAGGTCTGGGCTAATAAGTATTGTAGAAATATTTATGCCCGTATCTTGTACGCTTGAGCAACTACTTTAGAGATAACCACAGGTAATGTTGTCTCTCTAATGTAAGAATAACTATTGTTATTCTCCTATTATTTTCTTATAAAATTTTGTTTTACTTTTTTCCATAATATAAAACCAGATTTATACATACTTTCTTTTTTCTATAATTAGACTTAGATTTATTTTTATACTAAATTATTTTTCTTCTCCTTATTTTTAAAGAGAATATGGCATATTTCCAGGTTGAGTTAAATAAACATATTAAAATCTTGATTTTTTCAACTTTCTTATAATTTAAGCTTGAGTTGAACTACTGTCTCTGAGCAAATATTTCTAATGTGTGAAATGAATTTAATGTTAGCATCTTATTCATCCTTGTGAAATAAAGTAACATTCCATATTATTAAGGCATATTTTTATTTCATGCTGAATGAACTCATCTAAAAAATGATCTGTCCTAACTTACCCATGTGATTCCTTTCACTCCACCCAAAGTCCCTCTACCCATAAAAATATCCTTGATTTAAGCTTGAAATTCTACTCTAAGAGTAAATTCAAGATGTTTCAACCAAAAAGAAACATTCTGAAAATATCACAAATTATCACATTTGAAAATACAATACTTGTATGGCTCTACATGGCTTTTTTTTCAGGTTTATCTTTCACAAACTTCTCAAAGTTGCTGATTGCTTACTTCTTTGGTTCTCAGACCGTTTAATTACATCACAAGAGTTATGATAATAGCTATAATAATTACCAGCTAACAAACCCAAATTGAGATGGGGTTCCTGAACAATCAGCTAAATGATTTTCCACATACACACACCGGCCTGTCAGTGTCATACCTCAGTAACTCTCATAGCCATTTCAAATCACTATAGGTTATTTTAAATCACTGTGCTTAATTTTCAGATAATAATAACAGCATATTAAACCTCAAATATCCACATCCTCCTATTCCTGTATTTCTCAGACAAGGTCATCACTCTCTGAAAGAAGTTCTTTTCCTTTCCCAGCACTCTCAAGACCACACAGGCTGGTATCTCTTGCCTTTACTATAACAGACACTTAATGAATACTTTTTTAGTCAATCAATAAATTAACAAATCACCAAATATACCTTGAGCATATTCTCAGGTTAGTTTCACTTATCCACACCCAATAATCATAATCACAATATTAACATAGAAGTTCTGTCTGCAGATATTGCAGAAGTGTTTAAAGCACTGAATGGCATTTATTCTTCAACGACAGACAGTGACACACCTAAAGGCAAGGACTGTCAGTTTTCCACCAGTACCTCTATGCAGAAGAGACGGATGCCACAGCGCCTCTAAAGCACTATGTTTTAGGATTAACAGAAAACCTAGAAAATAGCAGGAATTTAGCATTTGTTAAATAAGTCCATTCACTCAGTTTAAGTACGAGTTAATTCAGAATCACATAGTATAAAATCATTCATTCATACATAATAAGTGTTCAAAGGGTTATGCTATCATATATAGAACATAGTGAGATCTACAGAATTGTTTCAGAAGATTTGAACAGGGCTTCAAAGAAAAACAGCCCACACTTGTTTCCAAAGTGAACAAGCTGAGACCAAGGAAAGTGATTTTCTTTACTAAGCTGTTTGCCAGTTATTGCAGAACCTGAATTCATACACAGGTTTCAGACTTCTTTCCAGTATCATCCTCTTGGTAGTATGAATAATACAAGCAGCAGAGAGGAATTCGCTGCAGAGATTAAAGAATAACAGAAACTTAAACTTGGCCACACAAGAATCAACATTTCAAACAAATCTTTAGAATGTATCCCCAGTGCCGCCTTTGTCATAAAACACTAATTATCCACTCACCCGGGATATTCTGGGATAAATGGCAAAAGGACAGATGAACATTCCTGAGTAGCTTCTGTTCCCACTCAAAATGCTACAAGTTATGGCTTCTGTCCCCACTCAAAATGTGGTTGCTAGCATGTAATACATATCACTGACTGGTATCTTTTAGTGCTACCTAAAGCACTGAACTCACTTCCCACTTCCCTCCTGCTTAACCGATTATTTTCAACTCCTATTATCGTCATTTTTCTCTTGGTCAGTAATACTATCTTCTACTAAGGTGCTTACACCAAATCTCAACATACTGAAAGCAAAGACAAACTGAAAACATGGAAAAAGGAAAGAGATTTGTCAATACAATTTAGTATTTAAGCTGCTTGAGATTAGAGACCAAGATTATCTTGGATCCCAGGTGACACCCAGGTACCTAAAATTGAACCTAAGGTCATTCCTAATTTCAAACAAAGTACTGTAGAGTGAGTCTGCTCGCTGCCTTACCCTACAGACCACTTGTAGGAATTCTGCATGCCCTTCCTACCTGACAGACCAACCCGACGTGACCCAACAATCCCAGTGAAACCAAGTGCAAAATAGGTGAGTTGGAAAGGGTCTAACCTAGGGCGATCGCACCAAGAACCTCGTTCCAACAGCTTCGGACAGTACAGGCTGGAAGGAAGCTTTCCGGAAGACGGCTCGGGTCAGCGTCTGCAGGTTGTCTGGCAACAGGCGCACAGCGGGGTTGCGGAGCCTAGTGTCACCTCTAAGAATCTGCACAGGTCGTCAGCAACGCCCCTCGCTCCCCCCGCGCCACCCTCCGGCCCCGCCTCCGGAAGGCGCAAGTCGGGGAGACCCCGCCGGGCTGCAGGACTCCCGCGAGGGAGGACGCGCGCCTCCAAAGCCCGGTGCGGAGCCGGAGCTGACCTGGCCCGGCGCTTCTGCGTGGGGAGAGGGCAAAGCCCGGCACGGATCTGCGACCTTTCTGTAACTCTTCTTTCAACTGTAGTTCATAGAGCTACGTGAACTATTCAACATAGTTCACGGAGCAACTGTCCTGCGCCCAGCGCCCAGACTGGTGTTATCGGGTAGCAGTTCAAGCACATGCCGTATTTTCCGCTGTCGAGGAGCCTGCAACTATTTTTTAAATCTCTAATGCTTTTTTTTAATAATTTTTTTTTATTCTCTTTAATGGTTTGAACAATCTTCCATTCTTACATCTGGTAAACTGAGCAACTTAGATGAACATAACAATATGTAATATAACAACCACTGTTAATTTCTACATTCTGTTTTGAAACTCTGTATCATTTTTAATGTTCTTGCATGTTTTGTTTACGTCTGTGATGTTAGTATTTTGCGATTGTTCTTCTTTTTTACTGCTCTCTTTAAAATAAATAAATAAATAAATAAAAGATAAATCTGTAAACTCAGCACACAAAATACATTGTATGGAGAGAGCTGGAGATATAGCTCAGTGGCACAGTGCCTGCCTGGCAACCACGAGTTCTGAGTTCAACTCCCGGTACACATACACACAAGAAAAACATTATATGGAGAGATACAGATATTAAGCAGACACATGCATATCAATTTAAATATATATACAATATAGATTATTACATATACATGTGTATGGGGGTGTGTATGTGTATATATACATTATATAGGTTACAATTTAAAATACTGATAGGATGGGAAGGACATAGGCTGAGAAATTAGGAAACCTCCATTTTATTCTTTACTCCACCAAAATTTTTCTTTTGCACTCTACACAATGTCTCGGGACACCGAGTCTTCATCCACAAGGGAAAAGGATGGTTTTAGGTATTTCTAAGGATCTACTGCAACATAATATGCTGTAACTTCCTAAATTACACAGCCAAGGGTCAAGTACCTTACAACTGAGATCTCATGAGTTCTGATCCAGTTCTCAGCCCAAAATAATCTTTTTTTTTTTTTAACTGGCAGTAGCTTTTCAAAATTAGCTCCCTTCAAAATATATGTCCAAATTTACAGACTGAAGGCACAGGAGGAGTAAAAATACATTTCTGAAAGCATAAGAACAGTGCAATCGGGCTGGGGATTTAGCTCAGTGGCAAAGCGCCTCCCTGGCAAGCGCAAGGTCGTGAGTTCGGTTCCTGGTACCAGAGAAAAACCAAAAAAAAAAAAAAAAGAACAGTGAAATCAATGAATATAATATAACCATTCATTTTCTTCCCTCCACTTCATAAAATTTATCCAGTCACTGTCCTACAGAAAGAAAAGTAAAACTAAACTAGGAAAAAACATAGCAATAGAACAAAAATTTAAACCCCAACTGCGAAAAAATAAGTACCTATCTAAAAGCCATTCCAAATAGTCAAGTAAAACACCACGTCCTGGTCTATTCTTGATACCTAGAAGTAGTGCACCTGAATAGTTCCAACATTTCTGAATATAGCTCTCCAGGCCACTAAAAGGCTGGTCTAAAAATCCACATCTATAGAACTCAGACATTTTGTTGATATATCTTTTTTCTTTATTTTTCATCAACACTTTAAAAGTGTACATACTTGTAGGGTACTATGTAATGTTTTAATACATTGTATACATTTGGCACATTGTGTAATATTCAAATCAGGGGGAAATTATCAGTCTTCTCAAACATCATTTTCCATGGTAAAAATGTTATCAATTCCCTCTTCCAACTTTTCAGAATTACAAAATACACTATCACTACCTATGGTTACCCCAGTATACAATAGACACTTTCTTTTAACTGTAGCTTTATACCAATGGATCAACCTCTTCTTCCTTAAGAGAACAGAACCTTGGCCTCTATACTGACCATGTAAATTTACATTTTTGCCAATTTTTAAAACAATTCATTATTTTATATGAGTACATACTGTTATTTGTATAGCCAGTGGAGTTCTGTATACATAATTAAACTGAAGTAGCATATGTTACTATTTAGTATTGTGATGATAAAAATAACTTGCATAACAAGCACAAGACCTTGTGTTCATCCCCAACATGACAAAAATATTTACATTTTAAACTCAATATTTAAATTTTCATTTACTTGTTCATTCAGTTATTTGTGTATTAAACAAACATCTGTTAAAAACATTCTATAAAAACATTTTGGATTTGGAGTACCTTGCTTTTCAAGTGTTCTTTTAGATGAACAAACATTCCTTTCAAGCAAATTTTAACTTGATAAATGAGTGATGTCTGGCAATACAAGTTGTATGAGACACTGAACATTACCTAATCACAACTAAACTAATGGTTCCTCTCTCTCTCTTTTCTCTCTCTCTCTCTCTCTCTCTTCTCTCTCTCTCTCTCTCTCTCTCTCTCTCTCTCTCTCTCTCTCTCTCTCTCTCTCTGCAAGATTGTGGGTGATCATCTCCCAACAGCAAGAGATTATGAAGGAGATCTCATGTGCAGAGGAGGAGGAGAAAAAGGTGTGATGGATCACTTCAAAATATGTTAGGGAGATGTGTAAAACATGGGAACACTGCATAATTTTGTAGAAGATCATCAACTGAACAAGGCTGTAGCAGTGCCAGCGATGGGTCTCTTTAATGACAATGCAATGTCACACTTCTGCAAAATCTTCGAAAGGAGGCAGAAGCAAGTGTCACTCGTTCCTTGTTAAAGGCGCATGCAAAGAAAAAGATTCCACTGAGCCAAGAGATAGCAGCGATTCCGTTAGTGAGTGAAAGGCATCCTATGCAATAACCCTCCTCTCTTGCCTGCCTCACACTGGCCACGAAGGTTCTCAAATGTACATGCAAGATAATTTGTGTATTTTTCTTTAAATTTTGTATTTTCTTTGTTATTTTGTATTATAGTATTGTAATCATTTTCATACTAATATTTTCAGGTTATAAAACAAATCATCTGTTTCCATTATTTCTTATGAGGCAATTCACTTTGATATACAAGGGCTTTGGATTAGCAGCAAGTTTCCAGAACAAATTATAATCACAAACTGGGATTTTACTCTACCTCGTAATATAGCAAAAGTTAGAGAAAGTATATAAGCCTACCTAGAACTGCCATTTAAATTATTGATTGAAAAAACTAATTCTAATTTCTTCATTCATTCAATGAATTTTCACTGAAAGCCTGTGGTTTCAGTACCCTGTCTAGATACTAAAGATATACCAGTGAAGAAAGCAAAACCACTGTTTGGGTGAAAGCTGCAATCTAATAAAGGAGTCAGATGTTAAAGAAATGACATATTCAAATGACAATTGATACCATCAAAAAATAGACACTGCAGGAAAGTGATGTAGTGAAGACCACACTGAGAGGAACTCTATACGGACCACCGTGAGGAAAGGAAGAAAAAGCACAAAAGCCTGAGTAGAGAGCATCCTCATCAAGCTGACAGATGTGGCTGCAGTAAGAGACTCATGGGTGAACACTGACAGAATGCAGTGTAGTTAGCCACGGTCAGATTATATAGTGCCTTATAGCTATAGAGAGACCTATGGATTTTATACTAAGTGTGAAGAGTATTCACTGGAGTCTTGAGGAAAGGAAAGAGTATGTTTTAAGCGTTATAATCTGGCAGTTCTGCAGAAAATAAATCACAGGGTAGTAAGAATAGATAAAGAGGGCTGGGGATTTAGCTCAGCGGCAAAAGCGCCTGCCTGGCAAGCGCAAGGTCGTGAGTTTGGTTCCCGGTACGGGAGAAAAACCAAAAAAAAAAAAAAAAAAAAAAGAATAGATAAAGAGAAGCCAAGTAAAAGGATACTATTACCTTAGTTTAGGTAAGAAATGATATTGGCATGACCAGAGCATTGGCTATCCACAGAAAGGGAAATTAAGGAAATAATTTAAAAGTAAAGTCAATAAGGTGTGTGAATGAATTGAATGCAGTATTCAGTACAAGGGAAAACAATAATAAAGTAATAAGATATGCATGAAAATGTTTGGGGAAGAAAAGGGCATGATGGTTAATTCCACGTATCAAATATATTATGATGATCACCTGTTTGATCAAACATTAGTCTAGATGTTGTATGAAGATAGATTCCAGAATTTACTAGCATTTAAATCAATAGACTTTGAACGAAGTACATTATGCTTATCTTTCTCAGTATGGATGGGCCTCTTCCAATGGGTGAAGGCAGAGACTAACGTTTCTCAAAGAAAACGGAATGCTGCCTCTAGAGCGCCACATAAAAATGCTTTCTGAGTTTCCAGGCTTTGTATTTAAGACTGCAGCGTCAGCCTTATCTGAATCTGAAGCCCGCTCTCTTGCCCTGTGGATTTCAAGGACATATGTACACATATAAAAGGTATGCGGAAAGAGAGGCGTATATATCTACATGGAGAGAGAGAGGGAGAAAGAGAGAGAGAATATACATACACCAGAAATAGTTTCTCTATGACCTAGTACAGTTTCCACTAGAGTTTTTGCATTTTTTTTCATAATTTAATTTCTGCTTTCTATTCAAAAAGCTACTATCATCAAAGTAAATTTTTAGATCATTTAGATCATGTATAAACTTAAGTTTACTTAAGTGTGGCAGAACTCTCAGCAGATGTTAGCATGAATTCTCTTGAACCAAACGGCACTCTAATCAGCCTAAATGGTTAAATAATGATATTTGTTTACAACACAGAAACTCTGGGGTAAAAAGTCATTCCGTACCCTGTAAAAATGCTGTTTAATTTTTTAATAACAATATCATTAACATAATGAATTTTACATTATATCTTAGATGAAGTAAGCAAGAAACCTACTCTCTTCATAATCCGAGTCTCTGACGTACCAATACAAGCAGCACGCCAAACTATCAAATCGGCAGTTTACAAATGCCTGTTGCTCAATTCCCAACCCCCGATCCCCGACAGAAGGAAGAGACTGATGTGGCAGTTTATTCAAATCAGCAAAATCTGCACAAGGAAGGCAGAGTGTATGAAACTATAGTACTGTACACAGACCTGGCCCGCTGACGGCATACAATACACCTCTCTCTCTAGCAAGGCGCTACCTAAATGCTGCCGCCTAACGTCCAAGCACCCGTTGCAAGGATTCCAGAATGGATCTGCACTTAGGGCAGGTGACACTGTACCACAGGGCGCCTCAAGGCGTCCCCCTGCAGTCCAGTGCTATGTGGTCTCGGCCTCTATCTACACTACCCGCGGAACCAGTATGTTAGGTATCCGCGCTGGGCTCGAGCCTGTGCGGGAGGATGGAGCCCAGAGAGAGCGCGGTCCTCGGAGCTGCGGAGGTCTGCCTGCCCCAGCCGTTACCGGTTAATGCAGTCCTTCGCGTCCTTCCATGGCTCTGAGGATCAAATGGAGTTGCTTATGGATCTTTGGTCTGTGTTTAGTAGCCAGTAAATCTCTCCAACTTCCATCTATCACAGACCCACGTTTTATCCAACAGTGCGTTGAGTCCCACAATGAATTTCGAAGCAATGTCAGTCCTCCTTCGGCCGATATGAAATATATGGTGAGAAAAGAGGGGCCTGAGCCCTTTTTTCTCTGCTTCATCTTAAGGTTTCTAAGAGATTGTACAGTTCATGGATTTACCTGTCTGAATAGTCTGAACTCTGCCTGTACTTTGAAGGAAATCACACTTTGGCTGGGCAGTGTGGTCCAACTTAATAGTAGGAGTGGATGAGAAGGGACAGTTTGAAGCTGTTTGGTTTTCTTTCCTAGACTAAACTTCCTTGGCTCGGGGAGGGAAGGCGGTGGTGGAGGACGATGGTTGAAGTTATTTCTTCTTTCTCACTGCAATTTACATGTTCTCTCTCTCTCTCTCTCTCTCTCTCTCTCTCTCTCTCTCTC